ATGTTGATCCGGTGTTCAAACCTCAAAGCTGGTACAACTCGTTACTACCCGTGTGCCATGATGTTGATCCGGTGTTCAAACCTAAAACCTGGTACAACTCGTTACTACCCATGTGCCATGATGTTGATCCGGTGTTCAAACCTAAAACCTGGTACAACTCGTTACTACTCATGTGCCATGATGTTGATCCGGTGTTCAAACCTAAAACCTGGTACAACTCGTTACTACCCATGTGCCATGATGTTGATCCGTTGTTCAAACTTCAAACCTTGTACAACTCGTTACTACCCATGTGCCATGATGTTGATCCGGTGTTCAAACCTCAAACCTGGTACAACTCGTTACTACCCATGTGCCATGATGTTGATCCGGTGTTCAAACTTCAAACCTGGTACAACTCGTTACTACCCATGTGCCATGATGTTGATCCGGTGTTCAAACTTCAAACCTGGTACAACTCGTTACTACCCATGTGCCATGATGTTGATCCGGTGTTCAAACCTCAAACCTGGTACAACTCGTTACTACCCATGTGCCATAATGTTGATCCGGTGTTCAAACTTCAAACCTGGTACAACTCGTTACTACCCGTGTGCCATGATGTTGATCCGGTGTTCAAACCTCAAACCTGGTACAACTCGTTACTACCCGTGTGCCATGATGTTGATCCGGTGTTCAAACCTCAAACCTGGTACAACTCGTTACTACCCGTGTGCCATGATGTTGATCCGGTGTTCAAACCTCAAACCTGGTACAACTCGTTACTACCCGTGTGCCATGATGTTGATCCGGTGTTCAAACCTCAAACCTGGTACAACTCGTTACTACCCATGTGCCATGATGTTGATCCGGTGTTCAAACCTCAAACCTGGTACAACTCGTTACTACCCGTGTGCCATGATGTTGATCCGGTGTTCAAACCTCAAACCTGGTACAACTCGTTACTACCCGTGTGCCATGATGTTGATCCGGTGTTCAAACCTCAAACCTGGTACAACTCGTTACTACCCGTGTGCCATGATGTTGATCCGGTGTTCAAACCTAAAACCTGGTACAGCTCGTTCTTAGCGGCGGCCACTGTGAGGTTTACTGATCAGCGTCACAGTCTAAAACCTCTTCCTGTAAAACAGGACAGGATAAATTATGTTTTGATTCATCAAGCTTTCCCATTCAACTTTTTTCTTGTTAATATATAGTTCATTTAGTTTAACAAGTTTATTGTTCACTTCCTTGTAAAGTTCATCTTCGGCGCACGTCGGAGATAACCGAAAGTGTTCCGATCTCCTCCTGAATATGTCTCCATGTGTTTTGGGCTAACAACTCCCATTCTGTTCTGGTTGAAAGGAGAAAGATATAAAACTGAACGAAAAGTATATCAGCGAGCTTCACAGTATAACAAATACAAACAAAATACGAACATTGCGGCTATGGAGCCTTGTTCAGCACATACATCATTCTGGTTGATGTAACGACAGGTGGATTTAGTCCGTAAGCATTGTCCCTTACACGACTTGCATATGACTTGATCATGAAGTGACTTGACTGGAAGCAGTCTTGATGACTTGGGACTTGACGGCAATGACTTGGTACTCGGGCATGAAGGGCGAAGACTTGTTTCAAGCTCTGCTTGTTTTATCTAACATCTTATCTTCAGATGACATTCTTTCATAAATGTCTTTCAAAGTGTCTGCCTTGTCCACAGTAAGTATTCCAGCAGCGTCACTTTTTTTATAGTCCAAACAACTCCCTTGCACTTCTGCTTATCGCGGACAGTATATTTACACGCGTCGCAGTAATTTATCTTGTAGTTAAAAGCTGCTTGAAGTAGAAAGAGTTAAATTAATTACTGTGAGGACTGAAAGGGACTTTGTGCGAGCAACAAACCCCTTCCCGTGTGATTCTTGTAGGCACAGCTGTTATCTGGTGTCGAGTTTAAGTCGATGGGAGACGAAAACAGTTGGTGAGGTCAGGAGGTCATTTGGCATGCGCAGTGATTACACTCGGTGTCCTTCACCGAGTTTTACATTATCTCTGGTTGTAGACATCCACTGTGGAACCCCTGGTCTTGCTAATGTCGACCCTGTGGGTAGTGCAGTAATCTGCTTACCCACTGTTTTTGTAGTCACGGGTTCGACTCCTCCATGCAAGAAAACATGGGAAAGTTGGGGGGGGGGGGGGGGGGGTATACCCGACGGAATGGCTGAATGGCAAGTAAATATACTACCAGATCTCGATTTACGACGGGTTTCCTTCTGACTGACTGGTCGTAAGTCGAATTTGTTGTAACTCGAATTATCTTCTTCTTCTTCTTCTTCTTCTTCTTCTTCTTCTTCTTCTTCTTCTTCTTCTTCTTCTTCTTCTTCTTCTTCTTTCATTTGCTAGAAATATATTATCTTTACCCGAACCATATTTTGCAACCTGTATTCATTCAAAAGGGTTAATAAATTAAGTTTTTACATAAAACACATATTTATATACTTATAATTATTTTACGACCCAGTTTTGAAAGAGGCAGGTGCTCAAAGACAACTGATCACAAACATCAGAAAGAAACAGTCATCATTTTTTTGGGTCATGTTATGAGTAGAGGGAAAATAGAACAGGTTGTGACCACCGGAAAGATCTATGGAAAGAAAGACAGAGGAAACAGCGTGAGAAATTTCTTGACGGTCTTATGTCATGGCACGGAGCAGTATCAGCACGCGAACTGATACACGCAGTTGCGGATCGTAGATTGTGGAGAGGCATGATAGCCCACGCCACTCGGCAAGGCACTTGATGATAATAAGGTCGACACAGTCATAAGTTGGTACCAGGTATAGTCCTGTGAAGTAAAGTCGGCCGGCGTGATGCTGACCACCTCACCCACCGAGTGTCGGTTATCTATAAAATACAGGTGTAGCCCTATGTGCCCAATATGCCCGAATGTGTGGACAAGGGTCCTTTACTTTTGCTTTATTTCGGAATTACAAGCCGCCTTTCGTAATCCCTAATCCACAGCCAATGCGTTGGTCGGTTTATCAGGAAGCGATCCACACGTGATGAGCAGTGCAAATCTCCAGTATGAGAACACCATCAACTGCGTCAGAACGACATGACCAGGTGTGTCGGTGTGCAAATCTCCAGTATGAGAACACCGTCAGAACGACATGACCAGGGGTGTTGTTGTGCAAATCTCCAGTATGAGAACACCATCGACTGCGTCAGAACGACGTGACCAGGGGTGTCGGTGTGCAAATCTCCAGTATGAGAACACCATCAACTGCATCAGAACGACATGACCAGGGATGTCGATGTGCAAATCTCCAGTATGAGAACACCGTCAGAACGACATGACCAGGGATGTCGGTGTGCAAATCTCCAGTATGAGAACACCATCAACTGCATCAGAACGACATGACCAGGGATGTCGATGTGCAAATCTCCAGTATGAGAACACCGTCAGAACGACATGACCAGGGATGTCGGTGTGCAAATCTCCAGTATGAGAACACCGTCAACTGCGTCAGAACGACATGACCAGGGATGTCGGCGTTGACTAATGTTGCACGGTCATTGCATCATACAACGCGTTTACATGCAGAATTACCGCAGAGTCCAGGGTCGAAGGTCAACACACGGGTCAGGGATGTTCAGCTTTCCCTCAGGAGATGACAACCCTTTGGTCTAGATTGTCTTATTTATCAGTTGCCTGAATTGTTTTGCAGAATTTCAATCCTAGTTAATTACCGTACAGTAGCTTATTTCATTTTTTTCCCCGTTTTATTTTTATTTTCCGTATTATTTTTGCTGTTAATCCGAAAAAATATATGATTATTTTCCTGTACGTGGGGATAACGTTCTTAAAAAAATATGCATTTTTGGTGTTCTCCATAAGTTTGACCGCTCGTTCTTGGCTGGTTGGCCAACCCATCCAGTTAGTATATAGTCAGTCGGCTATCTTCCGAATAACGGTCCCAAATTATTGAGGCCGAAAATATAACCTAACAGGGCCTCAGTCACGTGCCAATTGCTATGGCAAAGCACCTGCAAGCAAGTTAAATTTCAAAAATGTGAGATCATGCATCTTTCCCGTAGCAACTTATGGATGCGAGTCATGAACTCTCACTCAGTCTCTGGAGAAAAAAAAAATCAGAGCTTTTGAACTGAAATGCAACAGAAACATTCTTAGAGCACCATGGATGCCCGGCTCTCTAGCGTAGCTGGCTAAACCAGATTGCGCGGAGACCGGGTGACGAACTCCTTGTGGTCCGGGTTCACTCCCGGGGGTAGGCAGAAAATCCACATTTCTCCCAGATTTACGGTATTTACAATGGAATCAAGGCCGAAAGGTTGCGATATCCATTATATCGAGCCTAAGGGTTAACAACTCATGGCTTCTGGATACTAAAACAAACAAACAAACAGAGCACCATGTCCTGTGTGATCTAAACATCAAGCAGAAGTGGCTGGTATACAGCATCCTCTACACACAAAAAAGTAATAAGCATGATGGGCACACAGGGCTACACCTTTATTTTATAGACTAATCGGCACTAAGTGCGTGATGAAGTGAACATCATGCCGTTTGACTTTACTGCCCAGGACTGCACCTGGTACCCAATCAAGGCTGCGTCAGCCTGCAGGCCAAGATCTTTTTTTGAAAAAAATCCGGCTCCATCAGGACTGAACCCACAACCTTCCACTGTGACTCCCTGCCCTGCCAAAAGCCGAGGTATTTTGGACATGTCACAAAGCCATGGTGGTCTGGAGAGAACAGTGCTGGAGGGGCCAGTGTCCAGGAGATGAGGCAGAGGTTGACCTGCGTGAAGATAGGACATTAAACATGCATTAGCTATAAAAGCACACAGGGCTGGAGAATTAGCTAGAGAAAGAGAGACTTTCTGGTGTGCTGTGAAGAGAGCGACGTTATGTAAAGGATCAGCTGACTGATAATGATGAGGGTTGTGAGACCCAGCGCTAACCAACAGACAGTATTCACTAATGTCTTGTTTGTTTAGGTCCTGGGCTGAGGGTCGTGGCAACCATCTCCCATGGGACTCAGCACATTGATGTCAAGGAGTGCCTCAAAAGAGGCATCCACGTGATCACCTGTCCAAAACAACCCACAGAGGTATTGGCTGAGCTGACCGTTGCCCTTGTGCTGCTGACCATCAAGGAGTCACAGACAGGTAATTTTGTGTACACAAGGTCTCTGAGACTACTGGATGTTTTTTGTTTGTTGTTGTTGCTCAGATGATGTTTGTACAGGGCAGTACAGAAGTGGCAAAAGAGGTTACGAATAATAATAGCCTTTTGCCAGTGTGGGTTCCAGGGACCAATTGTAGGGGCAAACAAGAAGAGATCCACTGCCATCTCCTGTCTAGCATGTCCTGGATGTCAAGTAATTAAAGGTGCTTCCTTCGAAGCCAGAGTGCATCTGTGTGAGAGGCAAGGACTCAACAGCCTGCATACAATCAGCTGCTTCCTTCGAAGCCAGAGTGCATCTGTGTGAGAGGCAAGCACTCAACAGCCTGCATACAATCAGCTGCTTCCTTCGAAGCCAGAGTGCATCTGTGTGAGAGGCAAGCACTCAGCAGCCTGCATACAATAAACCAGATCTATAAAATGGATGTGCATGAAAAACTCAACTTCAGGAACCAGACTAAAATCCAGATATGGACAAATAACCAGAGTTCCTGCTGGAGTTTACAGCTGGTGAATGTAAAGAAGAAGAAGAACGAAGATATTAATAACTTTTTAGATTTTGCATTTGAAATTTGTTTCTGTTGAAAACAGGGGTCAGTTTTCTATGCACCCCTCATAATCTCTCAGATGTGCTTCACTCTGTCTGGTAAAAAGAAAAAAAATCTTTGAATTTCATAAAGTTATTGTTATTGCAAACTCCTTTGCTACTTTTTGCTACCTGGTAGTATACTATGGTGTGTGCCCTAAATTAAGACCTACCCTTACAATTTACCCTAGCATGATTTTTCAGGATGCTTTTAATATAAGCTGTGTCCTAAAATAAGCCCTTGTTAAGATTGTCAGCTAGCATGAGATACTGGGGCTAGTGATTATACAGGAAAGGGAGTCGTGTTCAAATCAGACTGGAATTTGGGATTCAGATTATGGCAATGTTCCAGAAGAGGATGACATGACGGTATTTGATTGAATAAATGTGGATATTTGTATCTGGACAATAATGAGACATCCCCTGAAAAACTCTAGTGTATTTTTTTTAAAGCACAGATTAGTAAAAGATGTGGTCTTACTTTGGAGGAAACATGGAAGCAGATAAAAAAGTAACTTGACCAATTAGCTCATCTTGTCTTTTTGACTTATTTGTCATTATTTATTGTCACTGATGATTCCCAGATTACACTTGAAGGCTTGTCTTCAAGTGATGGATGCAAGAAATTTTGTGTTGTTATTGTTCATTGTTCATTGGGAGCTAGAAACAGAACCTTATATCTCCCTCGACACCCACAGCGGTAAAAGAGGAAGTGAAGAAGAAGAAGAAGAAGATTGTTCATTGGTTGATTAAGGATTGCTATCATTGCTGCAGTCTCTCTTTCAAAGTCAGTGCATCTGACTAAGAGACAAAAAACCAGCAGCCAGCACTCAAATATAACAGATCTGTAAAATGGATGTGCATGCAACATTCAAGTGCTGGAACAAGACAAGTCCAGAAGTGGACAAACAACCAGGACTTTCAGCTGGGGTTTTTACAGCTAGTGGACACAAAGTAGAAGAAGAACAAGCTGCAGCAGCAGTACCTGCCTTGTTATCTGTTTCTCAGCTAGTGTGTTACCAAGAATCATATGGGAAGCAAAGAAGGGTACCAATGAACTTATGCATCTCATAAGGAGAGACTAAGCAGGGTTAGACAAATACTGGCTACCAAATCTTATAGGTAAATTTAGCTTTATAACTGAAGCAGTCATTATGAAGTCTGTTAAGCACTTAGTGTGGCCTGGTTGAGGCTGATTCATCATAAGAGAAGTAAGAACATGGCATTCTCATTAACACCCCCACCCCTATCCTCTGCAGCTAGCGCATAGTTCCAGTTATAGTGGTAGTGGCATCAGTTTGACTAAGATATCTGTCTGGCCTTTCCTCCAAAGCTCAACTGATAAATAGGTGAACATAATATATAACTAGGAAATGAATGTTTCTACCAAAGTCTTTGCCAGCAGACACAACATGGAAAAATAAGAATGTTGAATTGAGAATCGACATCACAGCACTCAGAACACTCCCATCAGTGCTAAGTCCCCATCTTTAGCAGCGAAGAGTTCCAATTCCGATGGTATAGGTAACCATCTGATTGTATATCCGTCTCATCCTTCCCCTGTGTGGTGTTGAGCGTCGGCCAGACCCCCTGGAAAAATAAGAATACTGAGTGGGTTATGTTTCTCTAAAGCTAAGCGGTAACAGTGACTATATTAAGGGCATTAGCATGGCTTGGTTCTCAAGAATTCACACATGCATGCATACTTAGTGACTCGATGAATATGAATGAATATTCAATGAATATGCTTGAGAAAATTCAGTCTAGGTTCGTTATACTAGAAGGGATTGTAACACTAAATACTTTGCGAATGGCTGCCCTAAACTACATCTTTGTGCCAGGTCATGCTGGTATTCAAGGCAACGAGCGTGTAGACTGTCTGGCAGACACTGCGGTTGCTATGGCTGGTCTGGTACTGGACAAAAGCGATGTTATCGATGTCATGCGCAGCACTTACCGTGATGATGAACACACCAAAGGGTATGACTTTGTATCCCTGTCTAGGCTGATGGACATTAGGATGCAGCCTGGAGCTGCAAGACATGAACATTTCCCCAAGGAAACAAGGCGTTTCATTAATCAACACAGAACAGGCATCATCAGTCGTTTTGCGCTTGTGGAGCTTTTAAAAAGATCGGAACGCTAATTGATCTGTCCGAAGTGCTATGAAGATAATCCTTACGAATCACTAATCACTAAAGCTTTGCTGTCAGGTCTGCTGTATGTGGCCATACGTTGTTTCGCAGCGGCTTCAGGAGAGTCTTGCAAGACATGTTCTGGGATCTGTTCAGCATGAAAACCCTGGCAGAGAGCTCTATGGCTTTTGCCTAATTTATATGAGGGTTTGTTGTGTCTGCAATTTCCAGTGTGAAAGCGAATGATGGTGACCTTAAGGCGATTGAAGACATCTTTGTCATGGTTATATCCGGTGTTATTTTCCTAAGAAGTATTTAATTCATTCACAGATAGTTTTCTGAACATCAAGATGAAATTCCTCATTTATAACTTTGTGTTGTCTGTTTCAGAAGCGGAGAAGCTGACCAGTTGCTTAGTTCAGACATCAGATTTAAACTACAACAACATGGATGAGCTCAACAACTTGGTTGTCGCCCCCAACCCAAGACCTCAGTTGATGAGGCGCCTCTCCGAGGAGCAGCTGGCCTTCCAGTGGACCAATGGAAGACCCGGAAATATGAACTGTCCAACCTGGCGTAACATCGTTAGGAAGACGTTTGGAATTTATGGAATGACCAGATTGGGACTAAGTGTGGCCAAAATTCTCAAAAATGTTGGTGCATGTGATGTTTTGATTGCGGATAAGGATGCTGAGCTGGATAACTTCAATGCCAACATCCAACAGACTGACTGTGACTTTGTGTCTTTTGAGAAACTTCTGGAGAAATCTGATGTCATCTGTGTGTGTGGATCTGTTGGCGAGCAGTCTAAGGAGGTATTCTGCAGAGATTCCTTCCAGAAGATGAAAAACCAGGCCATCCTAATTGCTTCGCAGAGTCAGGAGGATGCAATTGATTATGTGGATTTGTACACTGCGTTACGGGACGGACAGATCAAGGCTGTGGGCCTCAACGATTGCAACCAGGAGTCAGTTCCATTGAAGACCTTGTTCTTGGGCTTGAAGAACTGCACGTTTTTGCCTCAGACAGAGGAGAGTGTCTATGACATGAGGCACAAGGTGTCCGTACTTATTGCGAAGAATCTCACCGAAGCTTTGAAGATGGACAGCAAATAACTTCCTAGATGGACAGCTTTGTAGCTTGTGTATGTTTTTTCTGTCACCAGAACCAAATACAGAGTAGCCAAGCAAATGTGATCACAGTAATCGCCCAGCAGTGAAATGTGTCAACATGTACAATATTTGCAATCTTTGAAAACCTTACAGTAGAAACTGCAGTCGTGTTCCAGAACCTGAGTGTTGCGTGAGTATACGTTTGACAGATCTGACTTATTTGTATGCAGACTGGTGGTTCCTTGCCTCTCAGGCAGATGCACTCTGACTTCAAAGGAAGCTCCCAATTAGTCAACTCTTATGACATGCTTTTGAGTAGGCAGTGGGTCTATTCTTATTTTCCCTATAATAGGGCCCCATGACCCACACAGGGAACATAGCTAACGTAATTCGATCTTAATATGGTAGAATATGTCATGTAATGATGACGTTTTAAGCAAAAAGCCTCTATAAAAATGTTTATACATTTCACTGGTGGATGGATGACTATTATATATACATTTTTGTGGCTGCTTCTGTAGCGTTGACCTTGTGTCAGGTGTTGTTTTGTTGAAAGAAAAGATTCTTAACACACTGGTTATCATGAATTGATGTTATTCTTAATTTACTTATTAAAAACATAAAATGAATTGTTTTATGTGCATCAGATAATGTTGATGGAAAATTATTAAATGTATAATTATTTTAACTAAAAGAAAAATATAACTACTCGTGAAATGTAGTGTGCTGTCAGTATAACCAGGAGAGACAAAGAAATGGCATCAGAGAAATGATGTCAGCTTCTTCTGCTTCTTCACCGGCTGTAAACTCCTGCGGAAAGTTCTAGATGTTGTGTCCACTTCTGGAATTTAGTCTTGAGGTTTACATGCACTTAGATTTTACATCTGTCATACTTTTATGCAGACAGTTAGTTTCTGGCCTCTCAGGCAGCTGCATATTCAGAAGAAAACCCCTAATGAGTTGCTTTTATGACATGCTTGTAAGGGGGCCATGGGTCTTTTCTTGTTTCCCCCAAGGTGGGGTCCCAGAACCCACCTTATGGAATAAGATTATTCACATAATGAGAATTGAATGTGCAACACTGCCTCTCATTAACTATAACTTGTTTTCTCATTCAGTCTCAGAAAATCTGTACCTAACATTAAAGTTAGAACAAGCTCATTCTGAAAATGAGTATGGCAACTGAGATTTGATTTGATTCAAGAACCAACATCACAGCACTCGAGGCGTTCCTATAAGCGCTCCGTCCCCATCTTCAGCAGCCAGTGAAGAGTTCTGATACTAATGGTGCCAGTAGCATTCTGATTAAACGTCCATCTTGCCTTTCCTCTGAGCCTCGAGCATCTGCCAGAACCTCTCGTCACTCCCCACTACATCAATCTCACCAGACTGTGGTGATCAGTCTGCTCCTCCGAACTGTACACACTCTCCCACAAGGCACTAACCACGTCTTATCGTAGCAACTGAAAAATTACTTGGAGAACAAGCATTCAGAATCAGATGTATACAAGTAATGTTGTCAAACATTTAAATTCTATAGACATTTTTATAAACCAAGATAAAAACCAGAGTCATTATGAGGGCCCTCTGGGAGCGAGTGAACAGTGCTGAAGCGTAAAAAGATCATTACATATTGAGGAGAATGGCGCTGCGAGGAGTTACCAGGGGATCTGGCCGAAGCTGAACACTCAGGGAAAGGGCGAGACGGATATGCAATCAGTTACTGGTGCCATTGGAATTGGAACTCTTTGTTTGCTGCTGAAGGCAGAACGGAGCACTTATGGGAGTGTCCCGAGTGATATGATGTCGATCCTTAATTCAACATTCAACATTAAAAAACCAGAGAGGAAATGAGATCTATCGCCTGGGACTACACAATAAAATAATAATAGATCAAATTTAAAAAAGAGCTGTGTTATTGGATTCAACAATATCTGAATGCTTATATAATATTTTTCTGTTCTTGGTGTTGTCAGTTAGTTGTTGTAGAACATTTTTTTTTAGTTGCATGCCAGTCTGTACTTATGTAGTCAGAAATGTTCAAACATTACATTGTATACTCTGCATTCATAACCTTGTAACTTAGCTGATAAACAGTCAGTATTTCACAGTTATTTGTATCCCAGTGGTCAGCTTGACTTCCCAGAACATCTCCTGGTATCCATTTTTTTCTTCTGGCTATTGTTTATTTCCGATGGTGACACACGTGTCAGAGATTCAGCTGGCCAGTCACACATGTGATTCCTCTCGCAGACACTTCGGTTAATTGATTTTGTGTATCTTGTCCGTGCTTGTGGTGTTGTATATTCATGTAAAGTGCTGATGAAGGCTCTCTGGCCTCAGCGTCCACTTGTCTTGTGTGTTAATGTGAAGCTCGCTGGTTCTACTTTTCATTTGGTTCTCTATCCTTTCATAACTATGACTGGGAGTCCTTCTTCGTTTTCTTCAGCATTCTGAGCCCTTGAGGTTCATTGCTGCAGATCCCCCGTGTGGGTTCCGGGGCCCCATTGTGGGGAAAACAAGAATAGACCCACTGCCTCCCCATAAGCATGTCGTAAGAGTTGACTAATTGGGGAGCTTCCTTTGAAGTCGGAGTGCATCTGCCGGAGAGGCAAGGAACCGACAGTCTGTATTCAAGAGAATGAGATCTGTAAAACTGATGCACATGCAACACTCAGGTTTTGAAACAGGACTGCAGTTCAGTAGTGGACGAGCAACCAGAACCTTCCGCCAGAGTTTACAGCTGGTGAACGTGAAGAAGAAGAATTGCTGCAGATATCATCTGCCTCTGTTCATCTCTCTTGTTGGCTTTCTTCAGCATTCCAAGCCCTCGAGGTTCATTGCTGCAGATATCATCTGCCTCTATTCATCTCTCTTGTTGGCTTTCTTCAGCATTCCAAGCCCTCGAGGTTCATTGCTGCAGAAATCATCTGCCTCTGTTCATCTCTCTGGCTGGCCTTCTCTTTCCAGTTGGTGACACCAAGTGTTTGCATGTCTGCCCGGACATTATCTCTCCATCGTCTTTTAGGTCTGCCTCGTGGTCTACAACCATTCACCTCTCTTGTGTATACAGTTTTCACTTCTCTGTCATCAGACATTCTTTCAGTATGCCCCAATGATTTTAGTCTATTAGCTCTCATGATGCGACTGATCAAAGGTGATTTAAACAGACTGGGAGTCTTAGCCGATTGTAATCAGTTAGTTTGTAAAAATAAGTGTAGCAGGACATTTTCTGAAAAACAAGAAAAGAAAAAAAAGGCAGCTGTTGTGATATGGACCACATCATCCACTGATGTTAACACCAAAAGTCTGGCCAGCCCATAAAATATCCTGAAAAAAAACACAGGATACTATGGATGATATAATGATAGAGTTGTTTCTTTTTCTTCTTTTAGTGTTCGCCCGCTATCAACTCTGGCAGAAAGTTTTGGTTGTTTATTTACTTCAGGACTGGATAATCTGTGCGATATTAAGTAACCAGACGTAATTGACAAACGTAACTATCCAGTATAATAATAGAAAGAAACAAACTATATAACCTAGATAAGTTGAACAGAACATTGTTGTTTAAATTGCTACTGTTACTTGACCTGTACAACTGGGAGACCCTGTTTGTGGCTATACCACTGCTAGAATAGTTTGTGGGGTCAGTGAGACAGAGAGGTGGGGGGGGGCTGCATGGTCTCGAGGCATGCGGTCCGCCTCGAGTGCTGGAAGTCTCGGGTTCAGGTTCCGATGAAGGCTGGGATTTTTTCACGTGGACTTCTAATAATTTCACCGAGTCTCTGGATAGTAAGATCTGATGCCCGTGTGTATTGTTCTGCAATGTAAAAAATCCCTTGGCAAATGGAAATTGAAAAAAAAATACCTAACGGCACTGCTAGGCAAAATTTGGAGTTAAAAATCTACCCAGAAGTATTTCAGGATCCTCGCCGGCGCTACAGAGTCCGCTGAGATTCTTCAAACTCAGTTTTGATTTAGAAGTTGAACAGAGCACTTATGGGTTAGCCCTTGTGCCATGATGTTGATCCATTGACTAAACCTAAACTTAAACCTAGACACGGAGAAACCTCTGGCAGACCCACAGGTGGCACACATATTTTTGCGTTGATTAATTTAAAACTGAAGATACAGTTACCCAGACTAACAGCCATTAAACATATCAAGGGACACTTGCAATGACAAGACAGTTGCTTTAGGTGCCGGTGTGGGTTCCGGGGCCCTATTATAGGGAAAACAAGAATAGACCCTGTGCCTACCCAAAAGCTTGTTGTAAGAGTCGACTAACTGGGGGTTACCTTTGAAGTCAGTGCATCTGCCTGAGAGACAAGGAACCAACAGTCTGCATACAAATTAGTCAGATCTGTCAAATGGATGCTCATGCAATACTCAGGTTCTGGAACAGGACTGCAGTCCAGAAGTGGACGAACAACCAGAACTTTCTGCATGAGTTTACACTGGTCAACGCAAAGAAGAAGAAGAAGAAGTTGCTGAAGGAAATTAAAAAAGAAAACAGAGAGAGAGAGATTGAGAGAGAGAGACTTGAAATATTTAAACCATATTAAAAAATATAGCACTCTTTTAAAAACCATTCTGGAATTAAAAGTTGAAGGTAAGATAGCAAGAGGTAGACATCGGTACAAGTGGGGTAGACAACATCAAGGGATAGGCAAACATCAGTATGAGAGAGTGTACAAGGAAGACAAGAGATAGAGTGTATAAGATCCATTGCAATCAACTTTCACTGTGAAGATGGCAGCTGATTATTTGGAGAGAGAAAAATCCTTCGCAGAAAACAAAGCTAGCCTCATTGTTCGATTGCCAGCAGGACATTCCTTAGTCAAGCCCTGACATACTTCTCTGTTCATATATTGTTCTCATGTGTATCTATCAAATCATCACCCACCCTTTTATTGTGTAATGTTTTGAGAAGAGGGAAACTGTGACCTGTTGTGACTGCTGGAAAGATTTATGGAATGAAAGATAAAAGAAGACAATGTGAA